ACTCGAAGGCACTTAACAACAACAATATATACATATATATATATATATATATATATATATATGGAGGATAATCACATCAGATCACAAAATGGAAGATAACATCACTACATAACAGCTCAATTACATCTTAACTGCCAAACCACTGAAAATCATGGCCGAGGTACATTGATATATAAACTTAACCATCATAGGCAGCATTGCTCTTGAGTAGCACACTTCGGTGTTCCTTATTGTAAAATCATCTACAGATTTTTTATTATTGTCATGAATACGAAGTGTCATAATGAGATAGACGATATATAAGTATACAAGGTTATACAAAACGAATGATTTGTTCATTTCAAATACCTTATTTAGACAGCATAACAGACGACTATACACATGGACCTTGCCAGATGGAATACATAGAAACCAAATTGACTACATCTATGGAAAGAGAAGATGGTAAAGCTCCATATCATCAGTGAAGACAAGGCCAGGGGCAGACTGTTAACAGACCATCAATTACTCATATGAAATTCAAACTGAAGCTGAAGAAAATGAAAACAAATCTACAAGAGCCAAAATATGACCTTGAATATATCCCACCTGAATTTAGATATCATCTGAAGAACAGATTTGATACATTAAACACTAAAGACCAGAAGAGTTGTGGGATGACATCAAGAACATCATACGTGAAGAGAGCAAAAAGTCATTAAGAAGACAACAAAGGAAAAGGTCAAAACGGATGTCAGAAAGACTCAAACATGCTCTCCTGCGTAAAGATGCTAAAGCAAATGGAAGAAATGAGGAGGTACAAGAGCTGAACAGAAAATTGCAAAGATCAGCTTGAGAAGATAAAGCCAAGTATTATAATAAAATGTGCAGATCTGGAATCAGAAAACCAAAAAGGAAGAACACACTCAGAATTTCTCAAGCTGGGGGAACTAAAGAAAAAATTCAAGCCTCGACTTTTGTTATTGAAGTATTCTCTGGGTAGATTATTGAATGATGCAGAAACCATCAAGAGAAGATGGAAGGAATACACAGTCACTGTACCAAAAAGAAATGGTTAATGTCCAACCGTTTCAAGAGGCAGCATATGATCAAGAGCCAATGATATTCACGGAGTAAGTCCAAAGTTCATTGAAGGAATTAGCAAAGACCAAGGCACCAGGAATTGACGGAATAAAAATTGAAATCTTTCAAGAAAGTGAGGCGACATAGGAGGCACTCACTCATCTCTGACAAGAAATCTGGAAGACAACTATCTGGCCGACTGACTGGAAGAGATCCATATTTGTGCCCATTCCAGAGGGAGGTGACCCAACAGAATGCAGAAATCATCGGACAATCTCTTTGGTATCTCAAGCGAGTAAAGTTTTGCTGACGGTAATACAGAAACGGCTACAATCATACACTGACAAAGAACTCCCAGAGGTTCAAGCTGGACTCAGAAGAGGCTGTGGAACAAGAGATATCATTGCTGAGGTCCAACGGATCTTGGTTGAAAGAAGAAAATATCAGAAAGATGTTTTCCTGTGCTTTATTGACTACGCAAAGGCTTTCAATTGTGTGGATCATGACAAGCTATGGACAACACTGAGAAGTATGAGTATTCCAGAACACTTAATTGTACTCATGAGGAATCTGTACCTGGACCAAGAACTAACTGTTCGAACAGAACATGGGAACACTGAATGCTTTAAAATTTAAAAAGGTGTGCGACAAGGTTGTGTTCTTTCACCATACTTATTCAACCTGTATGCTGAGCAAATAATCCAAGAAGCTGGGTTATATGAAGAAAAAAGTGGCATCAGGATTGGAGGAAGACTCATTAACAACCTGCGATATGCAGATGATACAATCTTGCTTGCTGAAAGTGAAGAGGACTTAAAAGATCAAAGAGCACAGCCTTCGGTATGGATTGCATCTCAATGTAAAGAAAACAAAAATCCTCACCACTGGACCAACAAACAAAATTCTTATCAACGGAGAAAAGATTGAAGTTGTCAAGCACTTCATTCTTCTTGGATCAACTATCAACACTCATGGAAGTAGCAGTCAAGAGATCAGACGACGTATTGCATTAAGGAAATCTGCTGCACAGGAACTTTTTAAAGAGTTGAAGAGCAAAGATGTCAGTTTGAGGACTAAGGTATGCCTGACCCAAGCCACGGTATTTTCAATAACCTCATATGCATGTGAAAGCTGGACAGTGGATAAGGAAGACCGTAGAATTATTGATGCCTTTGAGTTACGGTGTTGGAGGAGAATACTAAAAATGCCATGTGCTGCAAAAAGAACCAATAGATCCGTTTTTGAAGAAGTGCAGCCAGAGTGCTCCTTAGAGGCCAAGATGGCCAAACTTCGTCTCTCTTACTTTGGACATATTGTCAGGAGGGACCAGTCTCTGGAGAAGGATATCATGTTTGGTAAGGTGGAGGGTCAGAGAAAAAGAGGAAGACTCCCAACGAGATGGACTGGCCAGGTGGCAGCATCGATGGGCTCAAGTACGTCAACAGTAGTGAGGTTGGTCCAGGATCAGACATTGTTTCCTTCTACTGTGCATAAGGTGCTGAGTCAGTGCTGACTCGATGGCACCTAACAACAACAATACAAGGGTAAATCAAAAAGTATTTCTATTAACTGGTGTTCTAGCCTATATATGTACAGGTTTATTCCAACCAAAATGATCAATGGATGGCTGTAAGCGAATTCTCTCAATAATACACTGGTCTTAGTTTCATTTATCCCCACTCATGTGATTTTTGTTGACCTGCAGTGGCTTGCCTGTTACTGGATGGTGGGAGCTATGTCAACAGTACTTCAAATATCAGCAGGGTCCATCCACAGTAGACAAGTTTCAGCTGAGCTACCAGACTAAGACAAGATAAGGAAGGAGGACCAGGGAGTCCACTTCTGAAGCATTGCTGTTGTTAAGTGCCGTCGAGTCGGTTCCGACCCATAGCGACCCTGTACAGGGTTTCCGAGGGTATAAATCTTTACCGGAGTAGAAAGCCTCATCTTTCTCCCACGGAGCGGCTGGTAGTTTCGAACCACTGACCTTAAGGTTCGCAGCCCGATTCGTAACCACTACGCTACTGAAGCATTAGGCAATGAAAACCTTGCGAATAGCAGTGGAACAGTATCTGATACAGTGACAGAAGATGAAATATAGCCGGGGAAGAGCTGCCTCCTCAAAGTAGATTAGACATTAATTATGTCATTGAATACAAAGTTCTTTCAGGACCTTCATTTACTGAAAAGGGTATAAGTCCAAATGAGAGGCAGCACACATTCGTTAATAATGGAAATGTGGAATGTACAAAGTATGAATTCAGGAAATTTGGATGTCATAAAAAATGAAATGAAACACTCTAAGATCAAGATCCTAGGCAAAATTAGGTACTATTGAGTCTGTTCCGACTCTTAAGAGACCGTGCGCCCCAAAATAATGAAACACTTCCCAATCCTGTGCTATTCCTCAGTTAGGTTTGAACCCACTGTTGCTGCCATTGCATCAATACATCTTGTTGGGGGTCATCTTATTCTTTTACGGACCCCTCCAAGTTACTGAGCATTATGTCCTCAAGGTACTGGTCCCTCCTGACAACATGTCCAAAGTACTAGAGACAAAGCCTTGCCATTCTGGCTGGACTTCTTTCAAGAAGTCTTTAAGTGAAACAATGTATTGCATTAGGCAAATCTGCTGCACAAGACCTTTTTAACTATCACTTTGAATAATATCACTTGGAGGATTAAGGTGCATCTGACCTAAACTGTGGTATTTTCAGTCACCTCATATGCTTGTGAGCTTTGTACAATGAATAAGAAAAACTAT